GAGTCCCGCCGAGCTCCGGCCGGGCCCACCCCAGCGTCCCTCCCTCTCCTCCGCCTGCAGGGCCAGCCTGGAGCCTGCTCGCGCGCGTGGCCGGCCGGCGGCGCCTGGCGGCCGGGGGCCCGTGGGCCCGGGACGTGCAGCGCGCGGGCTCCTGGGAGCTGCGCTTCTCGTACCGCGCGCGCTGCGAGCCGCCTGCCGCCGGGGCCGCGTGCGCGCGCCTCTGCCGCCCGCGCAGCGCCCCCTCGCGGTGCGGCCCAGGACTGCGCCCCTGCGCGCCGGTCGAGGACGAGTGTGAGCCGCCGCGTGAGTCCTGCGTCCCAGCCCGTTCCACCTGGGAACCCCGCCCCTCCTTAGCGTCATTTGCGGCCCCCAGTCACCTCTCATAACCCTGTTACCCTCTTCGGGGGCCTCTAGAGCCTTCTCCACGTACCCCAGACGCCCCCTATCCGGTGAACCGGGGAATGCCGCTGACCGCAGCCCCCTCAGCCCCCTCCCACCATCCAGCCACCACCTGCGGGGAAACCGAGGACCCTAGACTTCTCTCCAGCCTTGCCCTCTTCCCAGCACTCTCGCTGCCCCAAATAGGAAGCACACAGCCACCTCCCACGCCGGTACCCTCCAGCTCCTTCCCTAACCCATACCCGCACCCTCTCCTGATGCTAGGACCCCAGAGCTCTGCTAATTCTGAGGCCCTCCCTATTCCCACCCAGCAGCCTTGGAACTCCTCCTACTCCACTCCATCCTCCTTCCCTGAGATCGCAGGCCAGAACTCACTGCTTCTTAAAGCTTAGGATCCCCAACCTCCACCTTGCGTCCCCACAGACCCCTCCCCAAATTTCAGAGCCCCACCAAGGTCCCTAGGACCCCCAGGCTAATCCAGATCTTCCCAGACCTGCCCTAATCCAAGCCCCTCCCATCTTCCCTGAAGGGCCAGGATCCCTCCCCAGTTCCCTCTTCCCTCAGTCTCCCCTCTGCACACTCTGACTCTGGGGGGCCTCCACCCCATCCTCCTTCCAAGAGCACAGACTCAAGCCCAATGGCCTGGGTTCTCCTCCTCGCTCCTCCACTTCCTAGCTGGGCAGATCACCTCACCTTTCTCAGCCTCACTTTCCCTGTTTGTAAAACAGGAGTCGGGAGGCACACATATAGGCCAGATGTTTGTCACAAGGATGAAACAAGGTGGTACATGGAAAGTGCCCAGAAACCTGCTTCCCATCCTGACCCCGGCCTTCTCTGACAGTGACATTCCCCTTCTCTCTGCTTCTCCGCCCCCCACAGCAGCATGTCGAGCAGGCTGCAGCCCAGAGCACGGCTTCTGTGAGCAGCCTGACGAATGCCGGTGCCTGGAGGGCTGGGCTGGGCCCCTCTGCACGGTTCCTGTCTCAGCCAGCAGCTGTCTCAGCTCTGCCACCACTGGATGCCTAATACCTGGGCCGGGGCCCTGTGATGGGAACCCGTGTGCCAATGGGGGCAGCTGCAGCGTCAGTATCACTCCTTCCCCCGTCATCCTGATTAGTCCTTTACCTGGGAGTTCCCACCGCGCCCTCTCTGGCGCTGAGATCTGGGAGTAGCTGTCAGGAAGGCCTTCCCGGAGGTGTCTGGCCTGCATCTGGGGCCTTGCAGTAGGATTAGGTGATGGGGATGGGACTGGGGAGAACAGACTCCGTGGGTGGTGCGGAAAGGTGTGGAACGGTAAGGAGTTCCGTGGAGCCACAACTGCCCCCCGCCCCCCAGGGAGATAGAAAACAACTCAGGACCCAAGGTAGGAAGGGGTGAGGCCAGGTGGGTTGGGGATTTGGGATGGGAAATGGAGAGGGGGGCGGTGGAGACATCAGAGAAGGCTTCCTGGAGATGGCCCAGGGCTGGGGCTTCTCAAGTGTGATTTGGCAGCCGGAAGGTGATTAGAGAGGGTAGGCAGGTGAGTGGCTTGGGGGGAGCAAAGGTGTGGAGGGGGCAATGAGCCTGGTGTGTAGTATTGGGAATAAAGTAGAGCCCAGGTGGGTAGAGCCCCTGGACACTGCCACCATGGGGCAGTGAGAAACTCAGGGTTCAAGTTAGGGGGAGGGCCCGGGGAAGGGCGCTCCAGAGACTGCTTCCTGGAGGAGGTGGGCTGAGTTCGAGGATCTCAAAGGAGGATTAGTCTATGTGGGCGGAATCCGGGAGGGCAGGGCGGCAGGCAGCATTTGGTGGGATAGGTGTGTCAGTGGGAATGGGGCCCCTCCAGAGCCTCCTCCCTGCGGGGTTACAGGGGCAGACACGGAAACATGGAGTGGAGCGAGGGGTCGTCGGGGAAGAACTCCAAGGGGAAGCCCCCGCAAAACGGCAACTGGGAACGGAAAAAGAACAACCCCCAAATGGTAAAAACGAAGGGGGGGATGGGATTTTGCTCCAAGGAAACTGCCTTCCAAAGTCCTCTTGCCCTTGCCCAGGAGACACCCGGGTCCTTTGAGTGTGCCTGCCCCCGTGGGTTCTACGGGTTGCGGTGTGAGGTGAGCGGGGTGACATGCGCGGATGGACCCTGCTTCAATGGCGGCTTGTGTGTCGGCGGCGCAGACCCCGGCTCGGCCTACATCTGCCACTGCCCGCCTGGTTTCCAAGGCTCCAACTGTGAGAAGAGGGTGGACCGGTGCAGCCTGCAGCCGTGCCGCCATGGTGAGGCCAGGGGACTAGAACAGCTGGGGATGGGGGTCAGGGGTCCTGCCTGGCTCAGACAGTCCTGGGTGGCTTTGCTTCTTCTAGCTATAGGACCTGGGGACGTTCTTCTGTAAAAGGGCAAGGGGACAGTCCCTATTCTCATAAATATTTTCGGAGAATTTACTGTGTCTCAGGCCCCATGTTAGGCGCTGGGGCTACAGCAGGGAACCCTGCCCTGGGAGAGCTGATGTGGTAGGAACGTGCCCGGTGTGTTGCGGGTCAGCGGGGAAGCCAGTGTGGTTGGAGCAGGTGCTCAAGGGTGAGAGATGGGGTTAAGGAGGTGACTGGAGCGAATCCTGCGGGTCCTCCTGGACCAGAAGGAGAACCTTCACTTTTACCCTGTGTGAGATGGAACCACAGGAGGGTTGTGAGCAGGGCAGAGACCTGATCTGATACAGGTGTTAAAAGGTTAAAGGAGATCACGAACGTAAAGAGTCTGGCAAATTCTTGCTAGTGGATATAATAATTCTCTCCAAAACACTCTGGGATGAATGGTACTAGGGACACGGCAGTGACCCCTTGCTCTCTCCGGGGGAGGAGGGGACCAGCCTACAGGGCAAGGCAGATTCGTCCTCAGACAGCCCAGAGTGGTCAGGGCTGAGCTGGAGGAGCCCAGGGCACAGTGACCAGGGCTGGGATGGGAGAGTCAGAGAGGCTTCCTGGAGGAAGGGACATCTGCGCAGAGACCTCAACTAGGGAAGAGAGAAGGTGAAAAAGATGGGAGAAAAGGAGGAAGGGGAGAGGGGGAGCATTCTAGGCAGGCGGCATGGGCAAAGGCCAGGTGGTTCTGGGAACTGTTAACTCTTTAAGTATGACTGAAGCCGCCAGAAAGAGACAGGCACAGAGAGCCAAAGAAGTGACGCTGAATTATCCCAAGACTTCATCAGGAAGAAAAAAATGCTGGCTTTCCAGGCAAAGTCCAAGAGGCTGGCCCTTGAGTTAGAGCAAGGGGACCCAGGAAGGCGATCGCAGCGCTGAGAAATAGCGTGGGCGGCCGTGGGGGCCCCCTGTCCCCGGGCTGCGCCCCCTGACGTCCCCTTCCCCACAGGCGGCCTCTGCCTGGACCTGGGCCACGCCCTGCGCTGCCGCTGCCGCGCCGGCTTCGCGGGTCCGCGCTGCGAGCACGACCTCGACGACTGCGCCGGCCGCGCCTGCGCCAACGGCGGCACGTGCGTGGAGGGCGGCGGCGCGCGCCGCTGCTCCTGCGCGCTGGGCTTCGGCGGCCGCGACTGCCGCGAGCGCGCGGACCCCTGCGCCGCGCGCCCCTGCGCCCACGGCGGCCGCTGCTACGCCCACTTCTCCGGCCTCGTCTGCGCCTGCGCGCCCGGCTACATGGGCGCGCGGTGCGAGTTCCCGGTTCGCCCCGACGGCGCGGACGGCGCAGGCGCGTTGGCCGCAGCCCCGCCGGGCCTCAGGCAGGGGGACGCCCAGCGCTTCCTTTTGCCGCCGGCTTTGGGACTCCTGGCGGCCGCGGGCCTGGCCGGGGCTGCGCTCTTGCTGGTCCACGTGCGCCGCCGTGGCCACGCCCGGGACACTGGGTCTCGCTTGCTGGCGGGGACCCCGGAGCCATCGGTCCACGCGCTCCCTGAAGCACTCAACAACCTGAGAACGCAGGAGGGGTCCGAGGACGGCCCGAGGTGAGGGGCTGGGCACAGACGGACATCTTGTCGCTGTTGGCTACTTGCAGCAATAGCCGTGGTGCCGTCGGCCTCACTCCTCCATGCGTCTCCCTGATTGGTCTCTTTTGTCTCCCCCTGGCTTTGGGTTCACCTCTGCGATGGGTCGGGAAAATAAGGCCTGAGCATTTAAAGGGCCTGGACCTTTCCTCCTTCCTTTCTTCCCACAGTTCGTCCGTCGACTGGAGTCGCCCTGAAGATGGAGACTCCGGAGCGATTTACGTCATATCTGCGCCTGCGATCTGTGCCCGGGAGGTAGCGCTGCCTCTCGGGCCTCCATTCTGTCTGTGGAAGGAGGGGGGTAGAGTCTCCGGAAGGTTTTTAAGCCCGCTTCTCAATTCGGACTTAATGTAATTCTGTTCTGTGTCCCTCTTGCTGTCGTTTTGAGCTGCTTGTGGTCTTCTCTTAGGAAAACCTATGGGCTTGAAGAGGTCACAGCGGGGAGCTCCGCCAGAGCTTCTCCTCTGATTTCTGCTGTCTGGGGAGAGGGGCGGAGAGGGGGAGCCTTTCCTGATGCTTCCTACTCGTTTCATTTCCAGGCCTGACCTGTCTCGTCTCCATCCGCACCAGGCTATTTTTGTTTCGCTTGGTGGTGCCCAATCTCTGCCCCCAGACGCCTTGGAGTTCAAGCTGGAAGGGGTAGCTGGGAGAATTTTACTGTGGACGTTGTAAATAATGATTATTTATGTCCCATTTTTTTCTCTCCCCATCTCTCCAGAAACATCTATAAAGGCTCTTACTTTGGTCAGTTGTGACTTACCAGGGTGAATACTTTGTGTTTGCTGTTGGGGCTCAGGGGAAGAGATTTTTGTCTCCTGGGACAATAATAGATAGGACACTTTATGTCGCAGGGGTCGGAAACAACTCAAACTGGTTTAAATTAAAAAGATAATTTATTAGTTCATAAAAAGGAAAAACCCTGTGGTAGTTGTGGCTTCAGGCAGGGCTGGGCTTGGGCTCAGGGTCTTTCTCCAGTTGGCTTTTTTAACCCCTGGATCCACTTCAGTGTAGGCGGCCTCTCCTTGGCCTTGGCTTGTCAGGAGGCTTCCGGAACCAGTAGCCGCGTGGCTTACTCTGGCCTGGCTTGGTCACACTCCTGCTGTGTGGCAGGAAGTGAGGTCAGCCTGCCCAAGTGATATGCACTATCCGGGCAAGAGGGCATCCCTGCCTTCCTCCCATCAAGGTTTGTTACCAGAAATGAGTACTGTCCTGGGTAGGCAAACTGAAAGACTCTTTTCTAGACAGGGTCTTACTCTGTTGCCCAGGCCGAAGTGCAATGGAGCAGTCATAGCTCAAGGTAACCTCAAACTCTTAAGCTCAAATGATCTTCCTGCTTCAGCCTCCTGAGTAGCTGAGACTACAGGCACACCATCATGCCTGGCTAATTTGTAAAAAAATTTTTATAGAGATGGGGTCTCGCTGTGTTGCCCAGGCTGGTCTCCAACTCCTGGCCTCAAGTGATCCTCCCACCTCAGCCTCCCAAAGTGCTGGGATTACAGGCGTGAGTCGCTGCACCTGGCCACCTTTTTCATCTTAACTAAGCACTTCTCATGCACTTTTGCAGTTCGAGGTGTGACAGTAAAACTAGCACGAATTTCTTTTTCTTCACAATTTCACAAATGGAAGATTTGATCTTAGCAACCTCAGCATACAATTTTTTTTTCTTAAGTCAAGAACTTTCACCTTTTAACTTAACAGAATCACTTTGCGGCTTCTCTTTGGCACATCCAAATTGCCAGCATCACTACTTTTGTGCTTTGGGGCCATCATTGAGTAAAATAAGGGTTAACACAAACACTCCAGTACCTCGACAGTCAATCTGCAACCAAGAGGGCTACTAAGTGACTAATAGGCGGGTAGCTTAGACAGCGTGGACGCACTGGACAAAGGGAGGGTTCACGTCCTGGGTGGGATGGAGCAGACAGCATGAAATGTCATGACTCTCAATGGTGCACAGTTTAAAAACATACGAATTGTTTATTTCTGGAATTTTCCATTTAATATTTTTGGACTGCGGTTGAGGGCAAATGAAACCTCAGAAAGGAAAACTGCAGATAAGGCGGGGGCGCTATTGTAGGCATACATGTTTCTTTTCCTTTTTTCAACTGGTTTAAAAAGCATTTGTATCAGTTGAATTCTCTGGGCTGTCAGATCAGTCAGGATGGGCTGGTGTGATGGGCTGTGTCCCCCCCAGAATTCATATGTTGAAATCTAATCCCCAGTGTGGTGATATTTGGAGATAGGGCTTTTGGGAGGTGGGTAGGTCTTGAGGAGGGAGCCCTCATGAATAGCCCTTATAAGAGGCAGCTAGCTGGCTCTCTTCCCACTAAGAGGATAAAAGAAGTCGTGTCTGCAGCCTGCAAGAGGGCCCTCACCAGAGCCCAGCCATGCTGGCACCCTGATCTCAGACTTCTAACCTCCAGAACTGTGAGAAATAAATGTGTATTGTTTAAGCCACCCACATAATGGTATTTCGTTATAGCAGACATTAGGTTCTGCTGCAATAACGAATGGCCCTTAAATCTTAGTGGCTTACAAAACACAGGTTTATTTCCTCTTCAGGGTACACCTCTAGGTCACCAGACCCTGCTCCATGTCGCTTTTTCTCCAGGACTTAGGCGAACAGAGGCAGCGTCTGTCTGGAACAATGCCAGGCACCGTGGAAGAGGGAAGAACACCGAGCCCCGTGCTGAGGCTTTTAAAACTTCTGCCCACACTTCATCGGCTAAAGCAGGCCGCATGGCTAAGCCTGGCGTCAGTGGGGCAGCGCTATCATCCTCCGTCAGGGACGGACAGTGGATATTTTGAACAGAGTACAGCCTGCCACATACATGGACCCAGTAGAGAAACTGCACAGCCATAGGGCATAGCTACCAGTGTCACCAAGTATTGACAGATGCTTCCTCTGTCCTTATTCCCACCAGCGTGTGCAAGAATTCCCGAGCAGTCTGTTTTTTCACTGTGCACACCTTTGCTGTATTTAAACTTTTGGCCCCAGTATGTCCCCCTGTGCACATACCGTTTGGGACCATCTCGGGAAGGTCCCCTCCAGCATCACCAGGCAACAACTTTTCTTTTCGCACAGGGAGCAGGTAGAATAGCAGACCGATTCTGTTATTCCTCGGGGAGGTGTGCTGAGATCTGCCCAGATAAAAAGGTGGAATATTGGCATTTTGCCACGGCTCCATCTAATGCTGAAATACAGGAAATCCAGGAGACAGAAGGACGAGTTAAAAAACACCACAGGATGAACAAAATCCAGACTGTGGGAACGCTGTAGGATAAACAAACTCTTGGTTTCTTCAGGAAATAATTAGCAGGCCACTTCATACCCACTAGCATGACTATGGGCAAAACGACAGTAACAAATGTCGGCGAGGACGTGGCAAAACGGGAGCCCTTATACACAGCTGGTGGGAATGTAAGACGTGAAGCCACCTCACAAAACAGTCTGGCAGTTTCTTAACAAATTAAACATAGATACCATGTGACCCAGCAATTCCACTCCTAGGTATCTACTCAAGAGAAAAAATGTGTACATACAAAGATATGTAGGCAGATGTTCCCAGCAGCGTTACTCAGAATAGCCAAAATGTGAAAACCCCAATGGCCATCAACTGGTGAATAGATAAACAAAATGTGGTCTTATCCATACAATGGAATATATTTTATTTTATTTTTTTTTGAGACAGAGTCTTGCCTTGTCAGCTGGGCTAGAGTACAGTGGCATCATCATAGCTCACAGCAACCTCAAACTCCTGGGCTCAAGCCATGCTCCTGCCTCGGCCTCCTGAGGAGCTGGGACTACGGGTGCACCACTATGCCCAGCTGATTTTTCTATTTTTTGTAGAGACAGGGTCTTGCTCTTGCTCGGGCTGGTCTTGAACCCCTGGCCTCAAGCAATGCTTCTGCCTTGGCGTCCCATAATGCTAGGATTACAGGCATGAGCCACTGCGCCTGGCCCCATACAATGGAATATTATTCAGCCGTGAAAAGGAATGAATGAAGTACTGCTACCTGCTTCCACAGGGATGAACCTTAAAGACATTATGCCAAGTGAAAGAAGCCAGCCACATTGTGTGATTCCATTTATGTGAAATGTCCAGAAGAGGCAACTCTATAGAGACAGAAAGTTAATTAGTGGTTGCCTGGGTCTGGGGGTGGGACTGGAGGTTAGTTGTAAGTGGGCAGGAGGGAGCCTATGATGAAAACGTTCTAAAATTGGATTGTGGAGATGGTGCACAGCTTGGTAGAGTTACTAAAAATCTTTTGAGTTGTAATACTTAAAACAGGTGAATCTTATGGTCTGTAAATTATACCTCAATAAAGTTGGTTTTTAAAAGGCAAATAATTAGCAATGGAGGAAAAGGAATGAAGGGGGAACCTGTAGATCATAAAATGAGACGTAAGAGATACAGTAACAGAAAGAGACAAAATTAAGCTGTAGTGTTAGGAACGCACATTTGAAAACCGTTACATAAAGCAAGTAAGAAAGTGGCTATCGGCCGGGCGCGGTGCCTCACGCCTGTAATCCTAGCACTCTGGGAGGCCAAGGCGGGAGGATCATTTAAGGTCAGGAGTTCAAGACCAGCCTGAGCAAGAGTGA